CATAGCTCACTGTGCTGTTGCTTTTCAGAGTGGGGTGGAGCCTTTCCCGGTAGACTCCGACTTGAGCTCAAGGCTGTCCCTGGGTTGCTCTTTGGATTTTTGCCTTGGAGCAATTTGGGCTTCACTCACCTGATTTTCAGCTCCCTGCCTGAGTCTCCCTACGAGATGACTCAGTGGGCCCCCTGGAGCTCGAAGAACCCCTCAGCGACCCCCTCAAGCGCCCCCCCCACAGACCTGAAGATTTGGCGGCTCAGCGGAGCATCCCCTGCTGCCATCCAATAGCATCGCATCACAAACCGGAACCAATCTTTTCCCATCATCATCATCATTAAGAACATCATCAAACAAGCAGATCTCTGAGAACATCGGAAACTACAGGGTGTTCTTACTATGTTAATAAGGACCATATACTAGTATGCAGTAAACAGCAGAGATTAAAGCTTCACATAATGAAGAGATAAGAAGAAAGATAATAAAAACACCTGAGATTGCTCATTTCTGTTCAGAGGATTTGAATTTTAGGTTTGTTCCAAAGGCAGATAGAAATACATCACCTGTATGATAATTCCTTTTGTTTTATATTCCACTTCAAGTGCTTTGGAGAATGTGTACACAAAAGCCTAAATTGAAAAAATGAAATATATTGAGTAAGGAGGAAATTACATTGCTTGTATACTTATATACATGGACATCTGACTATTACTGCAACATCAGACTTCATTTCCAGTTCTTTTGACTTCCCTCCTTTGAAAGTATTTGGGATCCCCCGAGTCTTCCTTACTGACATTAGCTCATTTGATAATTTTATTGCTGGATATTCTTCTTAGTGGGGATGCAAAGAATGGTGCCTGTAAGGACATCATTAATTTCAATTGATTACGTTAATTGTGTTAATTCAAATGAACAGGTACAGAAGTCTGCGCTTGGTCAGAGATGGGCAGAAGGTCACTCGGAAGTGACCAGTCATTCTCCAAACAATTAAAAGTAGCTCTCTGCTCCCCCTCCAGTGCTGCTGAAATCAATTTATTATGTTCCCTTTAAAGCTACCACAGCAGCTTTTCTCCTCTTTAGGCATACACCTATTTGCATCTTCCTTGGCTGTGGTCAAAATTAAAGAACCATGTTTGATATTCCTCCTGGGATTAAACTTGAAAGGGGGGCCAGGCTAACCAGGAAGAAGTGACAGCTGATGTGGGAAAGCCCCCCCCCCCCACAAACCTCCCTAAAGGTAAGTTTGGTATAGCAGTTAAGAGCAGTGCATTTTAATTTGGAGAACCTGATTCCCCACTTCTCCACATGCAGCCAGCTGGGTGACCTTGGGTCAGTCACAGTTTTCTCAGAGCTGTCCTCTCAAGAGCAGTTCTCTCAGAGCTCTCTCAGCCCCACCTACCTCACAGAGTGTCTGTTGTGGAGTGAGGAAGGAAGGGAAGGTAATTGTAAGCTGCTCTGAGACTTTGAGTGAAGGATGGGGTATAAATCCAACTCTTCTTCTTCTTGAGAAAGTGAGGACTGTGAGGGATTCTTACTAATAGTAGTTTCCCTTGGACTTCCCCCACTTTCTGATAGTGGCATGTCAGACGCTGAGGTGGAAGTGTTACAAGAACAAACATAACAAATAGTGTTTATATTGTCACAGATGAAAGTTATAATAACTACGTGTTACTCAGTCTTTGTGTCATGTCTGGTTCCACCACTAGGACTTTCAATGCAAGTGTGACGTACTGACCTCCAAAAGCAGAGTGCTTAGTGCATCCAATTCAGAGAGCTGGGAGATTAAAGAGTTAATGCCTCACTGTGAAGCACAGGTTGATTGACAGGCTGCTGCCTGCCTGCCCCCTCCAATGGTCAACGCCAGCTGAGGAGAGCTTTAAGAACAGCTGAGTGCTGAGGAAAATGGTCTTTTTAGCCTTGTTTTTGTCTCTGGTATGTCAGAAGCCAGACAGGTGGAGTTAATGTGTCTGCCAGAGGGAACCAGACAAGTTCATTTGTGAAGGGACACAACTCTTTGCCCTTACTATGTACCATCAAATCTGAGGAAAAGTTCTAAATAAGAACTTCAGTCTAAGCATCAGCCAAGCTGAAACCCATTTATTTCACTGGGTCAAGAACTGAGGGTCCGTTTTGGCAGGAGGGATTGGTCAGTAGGTTGAAGCTGCCAGTCTAGCCAAACAGAAAAGGAATATTACTTCTAGGAAAAGGAGAATATTTCCTTCTCACTCATTCAGTGGGTTCAAAACTGAAGGGACCAGTGTTCCCTCTAAACTGAGTTACTATGAGCTAGCTCACAGTTTTTTAGCCTCTGGCTCACACATTTTTGTCTTAGCTCAGGAAGGATGGCTCCAGAGCAAACTAATTTATGCAGTAGCCAAATCACTCGCTCACAACTTTAATGCCAGTAGCTCACAAAGTAGAATTTTTGCTCACAAGATCCTACGGCTTAGAGAGACCATTGGAAGGGACCCCTGGATTGGGTGAAAAAGAAAAGGGTCTTAGACTCCTCTAGCATCCAAGGGAAAGCTGTAATCCCACAGGGAAGGAAAATAAGTACATGAAGAAAGTGCCAATCTCCAGGAAAATAAGATAGTTATTTGAATCTTTATTAAGACATATTGTTAACTGTTAAGAAATTTCCAAGACAAACAAATCTCTCACTGTTAAGAACTGAGTCTCTAAGGAACTAAACTTCAACAATACTTTGTTGCCTGCTCAAAATATAATTTGTAAATACAACAAAATTTACCCCAGTTTTCTCATCTCCTGCATATTCCTAAACCAACCATGCCTGTTTAATAAAATCATCATTCCTGTTTGAACTTTACTTGGTGTCAAGTGCCATTTACAAAGGAAATAGCAAGTAGGCTCCTGCTTATCAACAATAAATCTCTGATCTGGGCAGAAACCAAATATATTCTCCATCACAGGGTGGGACACTCAGAAAATCATAAACCATTTATTACCACATGCTACCAAGGGGCTGCTCAGACAGAATGGGGAATAGCTATTTAGTGCTTTGATGGGGAAAATCTGCCTCACAGAAAGAGAAGCAGTAGGGGTCCATCATAGCAAGCCAGTTCACACATTACAAAGTTCATGGGTTCCCTACATGTACTTCTGACTGATATGTTTTGCTAGTTCCCCAATGGGAATTTAATTCCCAGGTGTACAGGCCCAATTCCCATGAGGACAATGGTGCACACGAGGAGAAAGTGTTTATACTTCCCCACTGTACCATTTTTCCTGACTTAAAATGGGCTCAGTCGATGTTATTTGCTCAACTGGGGGCTGGGATACCCATAGATTTCCCCAACAAGGTAAACAGTAGCTCCGTAGGGCCATTTCAGGTCAGAAAAACAGCATGGGGGCAAACTAAAGGTTGCCCGCACCACATAGCATGCTCCCAATCCAAACCGGCAGGAGGGAAATTTAAGCTCTTTCACCCCACAGTAATTTGACCATGTATCACCCTGCCAAATGGCAAGGAAGATTCTAGTCCATATCAGTGTATATATACGGAGAAATAGCCATCAGCCTACTGTGTCATAAAACCAATAAAATAAAACATACTTTGAAATACTTACTTTAGAAGCGGAATAGATGGTATATAATGGACAGGGGAAAGTGCCCACAGCAGAAGCAATGTTCAGAATAAGTCCCTTTTGTCTGGAAAAATATAAAATTTAGTATCTTGGTGTTATGTTATTTTAGTATCTTGGTGTTATGTTATTTGCAGTGAAAAGAGAATTTGGGATTACCTATTTATTTATTAGGCTTACATCCCGCCCTTCCACATGGGCTCAGGGCGGCTAACAGGAGGCAATTGCCATACATAACACTATGCTCAGAGGTTCCAGGGTGGGGCAGTCTTAAGACTAATGGGATAGTTCCCCCTCTTGGATAATAGGCAAGGTATCAAACAGAAGATCCTCTCTGCTGCCAGACTGAGGTGCCAGTCTGTAAAAACCTGTAAAACTATACTAAAAAGCTTCTCAAATATTTTTGGAAATATTAACATCATGTCTTTCCCAATAAAAAGGAAGCTACAAAAAAAAAAACACAGCCTACTAACAGAGAAAACAATAACATAAACACCACACCTTAAATACAAACATAATTGCTTGCAAACGGTATCGACCAAGCCCATCAACAAAACAGAATATCCACAAATGATATCCAAAATAATTGTTTTGCAGTACCTTCTAAATATCACCAAAGAACCAGGCCATCTCATTTCATCTGGGAGATCTTTAACAATAATGTTAACGAGAAAAATTGAGACTGACGGATAAGAAGGACATTCTGCCAGCCTGTCCCATTGGCTGTCCCTCAAAACCCCCACAACTGTTCATTATGCAGAATAACAGAATAGGAATTCCCGGTTAAGTCTGGATTCCCATTCTCCAGTGGCACCAGAGCGGGGCAGTCCAGCTGATGGGATGCCAACAAGCAGAAGCCAAGCTACTATAACAAGACTACCTTCTGGAGGTTTTCATGCAAAATCTCTAAACAAGAGACTATTGTTAGGAAAGAATATGGAGAAACAGCATGGTTTCCAGTTGCTATTTGTCACACCATTATTAGGTCCATGGAGTTAATTTAATTTCTGCCCTCTGCTCCAGGCTCTTCTGCTGGACCTTGGGAATTCGTTTGATAGCATATAATAGATCTGACCAAACTACTGGGCAGTTTCTTTTCCTGGCAGCAGTCCGTGCACTGAGTTTTCATCCATCCAGCCTGAGCTAACATGGGGTAGAGAGGAAAAGAGATAAAAACATTGCCTGAGGGGCTGTCTATGAAAACAGTGATGTCTCTGAGTTCATTTATGAGCTAAGCTGTTTATGAGTTGTGTCTGTTAAACCTATCACGATACTGGCTTTTCTCTAGACATTTCTTGGCTTTTCAAAATTTTGGTTCAGGCTTTGGGCCTAGTAAAATTATAGAAGGCTTGTCTCTAGGAAACTACATCATGATGGCTTTCAAGTTTAGAGAGAGAGAGATAAGGGAATGAGATGGACACAGGTGCAAGTGAGATCATGGGAGTTTCAAGGCCAGAGACCAGGAAGAAGCTTTGCACTCGTATTCCATCTCATTAATGCAAGGGACAGGGTGAGTTGCTCAAATCTGAGCATGTACTAGCTACAGAAGTATGTGGTCATATGGCTTGTCAACACACTTGATTGGTCAATCGGAATGTGGAACAAGGGGGATTCAATAGATATTGTTTACCTTGACTTCCAGAAAGCTTTTGATAAAGTTCCTCATCAAAGGCTCCTAAGTAAGCTCAAAAATCATGGGATAAAAGGACAAGTCCTTTTATGGATCAAAAACTGGCTAATTAATAGAAAACAGAGAGTGAGTATAAATGGGCAGTTCTCCAGTGGGGTACCGCAGGGATCAGTCCTTGGTCCACTGCTTTTTAACTTGTTCATTAATGATTTGGAGTTGGGAGTAAGCAGTGAAGTGGCTTAATTTGCGGATGATACGAAGTTGTTCAGGGTGGTGAAAACCAGTGAGGATTGTGAGGCACTCCAAAGGGATCTGTCAAAGTTGGGCGAGTGGGCGTCAACATGGCAAATGGGGTTCAATGTGGCCAAGTGCAAGGTGATGCACATTGGAGCCAAAAATCCTAAATATAAATACACGTTGATGGGGTCTGAACTGGCAGAGACTGATCAAGAGAGAGATCTTGGAGTTGTAGTAGATAACTCACTGAAAATGTCGAGACAGTGTGTGACTGCAATAAAGAAGGCCAATGCTATGCTGGGGATTATTAGGAAGGGTATTGTAAACAGATCAGCCAATATCATAATGCCGCTATATAAATCAATGGTGCGACCTCATCTGGAATACTGTGTGCAATTCTGGTCACCACACCTTAAAAAGGATATTATAGCTTTGGAAAAAGTGCAGAAAAGGGCAACTCGAATGATAAAAGGGTTGGAACACTTTCCCTATGAGGAAAGGTTAAGGCGCTTAGGGCTCTTTAGCTTGGAGAAACGACGACTGAGGGGTGACATGATTGAGGTTTATAAGATTATGCATGGGAAAGAGCAGGTAGAGAAAGAGGTACTTTTCTCCCTTTCTCACAATACAAGAACCCGTGGGCACTCCATGAAATTGCTGAGCGGTCGGGTTAGAACGGATAAAAGGAAGTACTTCTTCACCCAAAGAGTGATTAACACTTGGAATTCACTGCCACAGGAAGTGGTGGCAGCTACAAGCATGGACGGCTTCAAAAGGGAATTAGATAAGCATATGGAGCAGAGGTCCATCAGTGGCTATTAGCCACAATCAGCTGTTGAAAGCCTGAAATAAAGGGACATCACTCATTCTAGTTTGTATTTTTTTCGTCAGACACAGGGCTATTTTTGGGCAGGAACGCACAGGAACAGAGTTCCGGCTGGCTCCCAAGTTGGCCACGCCCAGCAGGAACTCATTAGCATAATAGGCCACACCCAAGAGCAGAAACTCATTAGGATTGGCTACAATTAGGGGTGTGTGGCCTAACACGCAAAAAGCCCTGGGTGTTGACAACAAACAAGATAAAGAGAATAAGAAGCAAAAGGTAGGTGTGGCTGGATGACCACGCTTCTGGTAACATGGGGGTGTGGCCTAATATGCAAATGAGCTGTGCTGTCAGGGTGTGGCCTAATATGCTAATGAGTTCCTGCTGTTGGGTATGGCCTATTACGCTAATGAGCTCCTGCTGGTTTTTTTCTACAAAAAAAGCCCTGGAGACCCTTCTGGACACCTATCCTTTGGGTCTTCCTTTTGTCTGGGTTGGGCATTGCATGGCAGGAACACCTGATTTTGGACATGGGACTCTGAAACTTTACCTGGACTTTGTGTGTCAGTTAGCATCTGGGTCAGAGGACAAAACCTCCAAATTATTTTAAGTTAGCTATTTAGATGTTATTATTTTCTTCCTTGCTTTGCACTGCTGTTCTATTTATATACTTTTTTGCACATTTCCTTTCATAACTCTATTGATTATACTTCTGTGGTGTTATTTGGGTTTGGGGGCTTCAGTCTAAACACAGTACCTTGTCCCATTTTGGCTACAGCTACCAAGTAATTGTTTTTGGAACTCAACCTCCAGGCATCCCACCTAGCAAGGCTGACTTCTTGATTAACACCTAGTAGGACTAAAGACTTGGTTCCTTGGTACCCCAACTGTATGGTAGTTTAGAGAGGCTGGTTGTAGCTCATTACCCTAGGCACTGAGGGATTCAGTTCCAGGTTTTGTGCTTTGTTTTTTCCTGACCTGTCACTATGTCTTGACAAAACCAGGCAGGGCCAGTTGGGGAGCTAAAGGAAAGCCTACCTATTGATCAAGAGGAACTATCCTGTCAGTTAAAGATTGCCCTAACCTTGATCTGCTGGAGAACAGCAAGGGCTTTCTTCACTGTCAGGGATCTAAAAATATAATGAATGCATATTTGTTTCCCCATTTGTTACACACAATTCATGTGCTGTATATCCAAGAAACTATATATATACACACACACACACACAAGCTACAGACGTACGTGGTCATATGGCTTGGCAACAGACTTGATTGGTCAATCGGAATCATATATATATAAATTATATATATAATCAGATATATATAAATGAAACTGGACACTCAGGACCAAACTAGACATGATACTAGAAGGTTTGTGAGTGGAGTTCCCAGACTCTCTCTATTAAATAGCAGGCACATAGAGGTCTAACTTGGATTAGTACTATAGTGAGAGGAGGGGATAAATGTAAAGCTTACATCCACTGTGCTGGTTCAAAACCTCAAGTGTCCTGACCTGGATAGCCCTGGTTAGCCTGATCCTGTCAGATCCTGGAATCTAAGCAGGGATGGCCTTGGCTAGTATTTGGCAACCTCCAAGGAATACCAGGGTCATGAGGCAATGGTAAAGCAGGCAATAGTAAACCAGCTCTGAAATGTCTCTTGCCTTAAAAACAAGCCTAGCTAGTGGTGCATAATGCTAAAAGAACTTGAGCTTCCGACTGCCAAACAATCTTAAGATCTCCTGGCTATTCTACACACATTGCCATATGTTAATTATTATTACAACCTCAGTTGGCTCCACAGAGCTGCTATTGATCCATCTGTGGCAAATATATAGGTTCTTATATTAGTAACTGCATGTTTGCCCAATGGAGCAAAAAGTAACTCCACAGGACCGCTTCAGATTGGAAAACCAGCACAGCTTCAGAATTACATGATCAACAGTTACTCCTAGAGGGCAATCACAGAAAATTGCTAGATTTATGTGGTTCAGACTTAGGAGAGCAGGCAATTTTTATCTAACACTGGAGCTCAACACTCTTGTCTTATTGAGATATGTGGAGGTATTTCACAATTGCTCATCTTGGTTCCTCATCCTTGGTTCCTCATCCCCCATCATAATTACAACCTGTAATAGTAAAGCAGGTGGCCCATATCACAAAGACAATAAAACCAGACCAACTACAAACAAAATTTCAGTTTCTACAGAAGAGTTAGTAAGCTGAAAAGTCCTCCCCTCACTTAAATATACAGCCGTATTATATCTGAGCTTGCTTGCTGACCTGCAGGAAGAGATATATGTTCAGAACAGTTGAAAGTCAGTTAAAAGGGGGCAAAAACGGATGTGGAATTTGATCTGCTCAAATACTGGAAAGCT